TTGGTGATAAGACTAGGATCTTATTTAAGTTGCTGTGAGAACAGTAGAGTTAATCCATACACAAAGTGAGTGATCTACAAATGTTACTTATTAAACATAGCACTGTAACTGAAGCTCCAATACTTGGTCACCTGATGCAAAGAGCTGACTCATTAGAGAAGACCCTGATGCTGGGAAAGATTGAAGGCAGGAGGAGAATGGGACGACAGAGAATGAGATGGTTGGATGACATCACCAACTCAATGGACATGCGTTTGAGCAAGCTCCACGTGTCTCTGGGGATCTGAGTCTAGTCCTGTAGGGTTCAGATGTGAGCAGACATTTGTTTAATTCCTTTTTGACAATTTCAATTTAGGCAGCAAACGAGTCCAAAGACAAAGATGACAGGAGGACATTCATGGAATGCAGTAAGCGAAAGGGGACTCCACTGATTGTCTCTTATGTTGGTTTAAAATTGGGAGTGGGGGGTGCAGAGACGAGAAGATCCTGAGGAGGCAGAGGAACAGCTTCTCTTTGTCCTGGGAACCTTCTCCCTCCTTACAGCCAGTGGCCCTGTGATAACTGATTTACCAGGTCAAGGACCAGGTATTGGGGTGTTCAGAACTGGAACTGCTGTGCAGGGCTATATCAGAATCATGTGAAAACTGCTGTGAAAGGCTGTGGAAAGTTACACTGTCACTTCCATTTACATGACTGCACAGCATACATTTCACTGACTGGCCCAGGGGATCTGACTGAATGAAGAGGTAATGGGATGAGAAGTGATCTTCTGTCACAATGAGATCCACACCCATGCACAGTGTGCGGCTCCTGAGTTTTCTGTCTTGTAATATATCTCAAAGTAAATACTCACTGAGCACTTCCTATATGCCTGACACTCTTCTACACACAAGTTATTCCTCTTATTTCATAATAATCGTATGAATCAGGCATTGTTATCCTCATTTTAAAAATGAGGAAATGGGTGTGGAGAGAACATACAGTCAGTAAGTGATGGAGCTAGTACTCAAACCCAGAATGTCTGCTTTCAAGTTTTATGTCTATTCACAATATGAACTTGGTTTTGGTGGCTTAGATGGTAAAGAATCTGCCTGCAATGCAGGAACCCTGGGTTTGATCCCTGGGTTGAGAAGATCCCCTGGAGAAGGGAATGGCTACCCATTCCAGTATTCTTGCCTGGAGAATCCCATGGACAGAGATGTCTGGTGGGTTATAGTCCATGGGTTCACAAAGAGTCGGACATACACATTTAATATTTGAAATCACAAGTAGTTAGAGGCATACGCTGTGAACAGCCCTTCAGCACAGGACAGAAAGTGGGAGGACAAAGGTAAGAGAGATTTCTGATCGAATGCTAAGGAACTTTAGAACTTACTTCCAATATTAAAGAGCAAGAAAGTCTTTATGGAAGACGCAGCTCAAAGCTTGATACTGAAGAACAGGTAGGATTTATTAATAAAAGGAGAAGGAGAAGGAAATTTCAGGCAGAGAAAACCATGGAAACAAAGGAACTGAGCTGAGATGAGCAGAAGGTTTAGTGGAAACAAAGCAGTTGAGATTTGCTGAGGCTTAGGTGGGTGAAGGCATAGGAGTTAGTATGTTGAAAGCTGAATTATTCAAGGATGTGAGGGCTGTTGGATAATAGAGTGGACTTTATATGATCTGATATGCAATGAAGAGACATTAGCAATTTATGATTAGGTGTTCAGAATGATTAGAAAATTCCTTTAGGAAGAGTAATATGGTAGTAATATGGCAATACATCGCTTGCGATATGTGGAAAGCATTGGGGAGAGCAGAGATAGTAAGTACCCAGACCAGCAAGAGCAAGAGCAAGAGCAAGGGCAAGGGTCCTAACAAGAGTAGCAACCGAGTGTCCACCATTCCTGACTATTGTGGTGCTACTGGCATTTTGGATTTCCCAAAATGTCACAGGACCCTCATGATCTTTGGCTCCTAGACCCTGAATGCTGGCATCAGCCTCTCCGCCCGCACTGTAACAAACAAAGCATCCCTACTTTTTTCTATATGCCTCCCAGCAGCAGACTGGAAACCACTGGGCCTAAATGAGCAGGAAATAAAGAGATGACAGACACGATGTTTTTATTTCCTGTTCATTGAGGCCTCCCCAGTGGCTCAGTGGTAAAGAACCTGCCTGCAATGCAGGAGACGTGGGTTAGATCCCTGGGTTGGGAAGATCCCCTGGAGAAGGGAATGGCTACCCACTCCAGTATTCTTTTTTTTAAAATTAATTAATTTTAATTGGAGACTAATTAGTTTACAGTATTGTGGTGGTTTTCACCAGACATTGACATGAATCAGCCATGGGTGTACAGGTGTCCCCCCATCCTGTACCCCATCCTCACCCCCTCCCACCTCCCTCCCCACCCCATCCCTCTGGGTTGTCCCAGAGCACCAGCTTCGAGTTCCCTGCTTCATGCATTGAACTTGCACTGGTCATTTATTTAACATATGGTAATATACATGTTTCAATGCTATTCTCTGATATCGTCCCACCCTCTCCTTTTCCCACAGAGTCCAAAAGTCTGTTCTTTACATCTGTGTCTCTTTTGCTGTCTTATATATAGGGTCATCATTACCATCTTTCTAGATTCCATATACATATGTTAATATCCTATATTGGTGTTTCTCTTTCTGACTTACTTCACTCTGTATAATAGGCTCCACTTTCGTCCACCTTATTAGAACTGACCCAAATGCAGTCAGTCTTTTTTTTTTTATAGCTGAATAATATTCCATTGTGTATATGTACATAGCTTCCTTATCCATTCATCTGACAATGGACATCTAGGTTGCTTCCATGTCCTAGCTATTGTAAACAGTGCCGCAATGAACATTCCACTCCAGTATTCTTGCCTGGAGAATCCCATGAGCAGAGGAGCCTGGTGGGCTACAGTCCATGAGGTTGCAAAAGAGTTGTACACAATTGAGCAACTAAACAACAAACAGGAAATAAAGAGGAGATGATAGACATGATGAGAGGACAGACACAGACCCAAAAACTGTTAGGGTTTTCTAGTAGGACAGGAAAGCCTGATCTCAATGGTTATCCTGGGCTTCCTAAGGTGTAGTGACTGAGTGGCCAATGAGACCATTCTAGGGAGGGACAATCCCAAAGAAACAACTTCAGAGATGAGTAGAATAAAAAGTCAGGGGACAGTGGGAAACTCACAACCCAAAGTTTTCATTCTGAATCCTGATCCTCTCAGACAGTTCTGTGTATGAAACATTTTGACTCAAAAGATGCTTAAAGGGAGCAGGCACCAAGCCCAGTCATGGAGGGGACTCCTGCCAAATGTGGACTTCTAGGCTGGTAATATCCTTGTAGCTTTCAAAACCTCTGCAGTCTGGGCCAATTCCCCTTTTCCAGCCAAACTGCCTAGAGTTAATAGTCCCCAACGGCTCCACCATGGTTGCCAAATATTGGGTGAGCTATGATGTACTCAGTAAGACAGTTTATTTCTGTCAAAGGATGACAGGAGATAGAATTAATTCTTTGTATCTTGATTGCCTATAATCAGAATGTTTCAATTAACCTCTGGGCTTAGACAGTCATTGGAGTTGATAGGTACTTCTATTTAGGTTTACTTTATTTGAATATAGTAACTTCTCACTAGATCAATTAACACTTGTCAATTAACATATAGAATAAAAAGTCAGGGGACAGTGGGAAACTCACAACCCAAAGTTTTCATTCTGAATCCTGATCCTCTCAGACAGTTCTGTGTATGAAACATTTTGACTCAAAAGATGCTTAAAGGGAGCAGGCACCAAGCCCAGTCATGGAGGGGACTCCTGCCAAATGTGGACTTCTAGGCTGGTAATATCCTTGTAGCTTTCAAAACCTCTGCAGTCTGGGCCAATTCCCCTTTTCCAGCCAAACTGCCTAGAGTTAATAGTCCCCAACGGCTCCACCATGGTTGCCAAATATTGGGTGAGCTATGATGTACTCAGTAAGACAGTTTATTTCTGTCAAAGTCAAAGGATGACAGGAGATAGAATTAATTCTTTGTATCTTGATTGCCTATAATCAGAATGTTTCAATTAACCTCTGGGCTTAGACAGTCATTGGAGTTGATAGGTACTTCTATTTAGGTTTACTTTATTTGAATATAGTAACTTCTCACTAGATCAATTAACACTTGTCAATTAACATATATTAAATATCCTCAGAACAAAAGCATTAAAACACATTTACATAAGAGGATGAGAAAGGAAACTAATTTCTAGGTCATCCAAAGCCACTTTTTAATGAAACTTTTGTAATGTATTATTCTGTGGACTGAGAAGAGCTATCCATCTTTATTTACCCTCCTAATGTGAGGACTGTTTCATCTGAAAGGGTCTCTCCTTGGGCTGCACTTTAGGGTCTCCTTCCATTTCAATACTATAAATGTTTCCCCAAAAGTCACCAGTGACTTATTCATTGTAAGATCCATTAGGTCCACTGTTAATTCTCACATTGCTTGATGTCCGTGGCACTACACCTGTTGATTTGTCTTAATTAGTAGACTGTTCCTTACTAGTCTTTCACATGGGATCTCTTTGCCATCCAGCTTCTTAAAATGTTAGTGTTTTCCAGAGTCCCATCCTTGGGCCACTCCTGTTTGCAGCCTACAGTTGTACTTGGATGACCTTGCTCACTTCCAAGGTTTGAACTTCTCCCCATTGGTCATGGCCACCAAATGCCATCTCCAGTTTTCACCACTCTCAAGAACCTCAGATAAATACACACAAACATCTGCTGGTTATCCTTTGGATATCCCAAAGGTCCTGCCAACTAAACTCAATCTATAACTGGACTCATCATCCTTTCTTTGTCTCTGTTGAAACTCACTCTTTCTGTACATTGTATGATATCTCAGTTTATGGGAGCACCACCCATTGGATACCCAAGATTCCAATGGAATAGTCATGACAGACTCCTCTACACCTCTCTTCTCCTCACATTCCACATCCAGTTATTCACAAAGTCCTACTGATTTTAAGTTCCCCATATCTCCTGAACTTATCTTTCCCTCTTCATCCCAAGCATTCTTGTCATCGTTCTCATCTAGACTACTGCAGTATTCTCCCAACATGTCATATCCCTTATCCTCACTGCTTCCGGAATGGGCCACCTAAAACACACAGTGGGCCATGTCATTCAGTGGCAGAGACTGCTAGATCCTCACTACAGTCCTTTTTCCTCATCCTCCTGAGCATTCAACTGCATTATGTTTTCTATCCATTTTGCACTTTGCTTGGGTCAAATGAGTTCTAGACAGTGGAACATGAGCAGAAGTGATAAATGCCCCCTTCTAGGTTTGGCCCATAAAACCTCCTGTGGGAGAGCCTCTGTGCTCTTTTCCTTCCTAACTGTGACTAGGATGGTGACCCCAGGGCCAATTTGAAGATGGGAGGATGGTAGAGCCATTGTCAGACTGGAGTCTCAAAGAACTGCACAAGGGTCAGAGCCTCATTCTCTACTGCTACCATTGCAGACACAGAATTACCATGTATTATTATGTGAGTGAGAAATCAACTTCTATTTCGGTGAACCACACTTGTTTGGCTCTATTGTTAACAACAGCCTACCCCTCAGTGTGCATCTGCACATGACTTCTAAGTACACACACATATTGTACATATGCCATTATGTACAATGTCATTCATACTTTATTCTGATATTGATGCCATATGCATGCCTTTCATCTAGTCTTTCACCCTCTGTTTATCCTTCCTTGTATTTTTCTCAAGACCCACACTGTCTTTAATGGAAGGTGCTTTCAGACTTCATCTCCATTGACTAATTAACAGAATCCTACAAATTAACAGGTAGCCTCAGTTTCCATAACTTGTTCTCTTTGTTGTTGAATTTAGACCAGACTGTTTTGTTGGATAGAGGACAATAAGCCTATTTAAGTCCTTTAGGGGTGACCCATGTTTTTGAAAGGAAAAATACCTTTTGAGGGTGCTATGTGAAATCATACCATTCATAAATCTACACAGTCCATTTTTATTTCAAATATCTAGGCTGGCTGAATCCACTTCAGTGACCATTTGCTCCTGCAAACTCAAAAATAACCACAAGCCCTCAGTGTTATTTGAAAGCACCTTCTTGTGAACCATGTGATTTTCTAATCTGTCTACCCAGGGTTACCACATAACTGGCATTGTTTTTATGGATCATATGATCAAGGAAGAAACAAATAAAACAGAAGGCAGAGAGAGTGGTGATGCTTCGGATTGTAAAGCAATGGATCATAGGCTAGGAAGTCTGTCTGCTTGGGTTCAAATCCCTTCCGTGTGTGTGTGATTCTGGCTAGCTACTTCACCTTTCAGCTCTTCCTCATTTCAACAACGGGGGCTACATTACCAATCTCCTTGGGCTGTACTGAGGGTTATGGGAGTGACTACATGTGAAATAGCATGAAGTCATTCTATAAAGCATATCACACACTTCATACACATTCACTGTCAACGTCCTTCTCATCATTAAGAGCCCAATTAGACTTTGCTAACAGAAAGAAATCTGACCAAAATGTCAGGGATCATGAGACTCATTCCTCTCCTTTTTGAACAAATTGGATTACTCTAAGCCTGGAAATCTTTCTTGCCCTCCTGAAACTGGATTCTTTACTTGCAAATGGAGATAATAAGATGACTCTCCATTGACAGAAAATGTAATGAACATGATTTCACTTTAGAAATCAAAATAGATCAATGTGAAAACATAGTTTGAATACAAATAAAAAAAATTTGAAAGGTTGCATATACCTATTTTTTGCCAGTATAGTCAATTTCGGGACCAATGGTGCTGACTAATTTATACAACAGATTTTAAACAGTGAACTTGTCAGCTGCTGCTAAAATTTACTAGAGAGACTGCGGATTAGAGTGGAAAGATTTAGAAGGCTCATCTTCCAATTGACGTGTCTATAGACAAGTCACTTAACTGTTAAAAATCTTAGTTTCTGTAATTGTGAATTGGTACAAATGGAGAGCTTACCTGCTCCCCGGGACTGTGAAAAGGAGAAAATAGGAGGCTATATATGAAAGTGGTTTGGAAATTAACATGCCTCATAAATTAAATGTATTGTTATTTTTACATTAGCTGCTAATACTTCTTTTTGGCTAGGGAGATGATTCATGCATCGTCATAAAAATTGCTGAATGATTTGAACATGTGATTATTTTGCCACAAAGTTCTCTTTTGAGTTGTCAATTTATTTTTAACAAGTTCAAATACTGTGCATTCAAAATACAAATCGGTGAGAAATGATTGTGATGCTTCAAAGGATGTAATTAGTTTTAGAAATGGAGAAACAAATATCTAGCCAAATTCCTGTGGCCTGAAAACAGGAACCAATGTTTTGCCATCATGTTTATTTTCTTCTTACTCTATCTATGAGTCAAAAAGAGTTTTTTTCAAGAGAATTCTTTTAATACAAGCAAACACTGAGTCAAAAAAAAAAAGAATTGTTAATAAAGTAAGCATAGAATTCTTTTAAAGAAGTTTGTTTTAGATTTCCATTCCAATTGTGACTACTTGATAGGTTTAAACCAGATTCTCAACATTGGCTTTCTGAATGAAGTATGAACTCAGTTCCTCCCATAGGATTCTTTGAATCTTATGGATTCTTTGGTCCTTCATCATAGAATTCTTATAGTTTGTAGCTGGAAGGGACATTGGAGAGGAGAGGTGATTTGTACTAGCTTTACGGTTCTGGAGATCGAAAGCAGGTTCAGAGAGGCAGACTGAATTCTCCACTGTCACACAACTGGCTGACTCAGGTCTCCAATTGAGTTCTAGGTACTTCTCACTCTATCTCACTACATTGTTCTCTTACCCTGGACTTTTTTTTTTTTTCATATTTGGAGTTAGGTGAAGAGGGAGGTGAGGGCATGGACCTGATTGCTTCACTTTTTTTCAAGTCCATTTGGAAATCTGCACAGAAATGCAACACCCCTAGCTAATTCCATATAGAATCAGGCCTGGGTAAGAAACAGAACTCTTACCTCACTCCAGTTTCCAACAATCCAGTAGGCAGGGCTGTGTCCCATCGAGAGCTGCTTGTAATCCGAGGCATTAAGCAGAAATCCCTCAGCCATCAGACTTGTTGCATCTTCCTTGGTCAGGACCGGTCCAGGACTCTGTGTTAGGTTCATGTTGCTTGGAAGTTCTGGGGCGCGATGGTTTACTGGCTCTTTGGAGTATGCTGGCTGGTGGTCTGCTCCCAGAGGGAGTGGAGTATTAGCTGGCTTTTCAGTGACCATCCCTTCAGCTCTGGATGCTCCATTTTTGACAGTAATGGGCCTTTGGCTGGGTACCAGTCCTTCTGATACTGTGCTAAAGGGTGGCCATAGAGATGTCCCCCCAAGATAAGGGGTTGGTGGAGCTCCAAGTGGTATTTCTATACTTCTTTCCCCTGGAGAATCATTTCCAGGTTCTCTGATCTTGGTCCATGTCACAGAGTTGTTCTCATGTTTTTTCTCAGATGGTTCACTGTCTTCCCCTGAGCCACTGTGAATCTCCATTTCTGGCTCTTTGGTCAAGGGACTGTAAAACGAAGTCACCTGCCAAGTCACAGCATTGCTGGAAGTTGACAAGTCAGAACCACTCGTCGTTGTGATGACAAGGTCTCCCTCGGAGGTAGGACCAGTGTCAGGATTGGAAACATTTTCTTCATTTGGCTGGATGCTCAAAGACAGAGAAGTGAGGGTGGGCTGGGAAGTACTTCCAGTGGAAATGACATTATGGGTGTCCAGTTCAGTTTGGATTGAACTATTCTGCCCCTGCTTCCCATCCAGGTCTCCTTCTTTGGAGGCTGTGGAAGGATCAGGGCTGTTAATTGTCGGAGTGCTTGGGCTCAGAGGCCCAGGCACTGTGGGTGTAGTCAGCACCCTGGGACTGGGTGTAGTCAGCATCCTGGGACTGGGTGTAGTTGGAGGGACAGGCTTGAAGGGGTCAGGTGTTGGTAGCTTTTTCCCACTGAAAATTGTGCCTCTGTTGGGCTTCAGAATTCTCCGGCTGGATGGGCACTGCTGGAGGCCACAGAGAGCTCTGCTGTTGGGCTTCCTCGTCATGTCGCAGGGCTCATCGTGGTTCTTGGCACACGTGACACTGCGAATCCGTACTCCACCACCACAGGAAACAGAGCACTGGAAAAGAGAGATGGCTGTCAGTCGAGTGGGAAAGACGCATTGCTTCTCATGCTATGATTTACAGCAGATCAGGACAGGCCCAGTAGAGACTGCACTGTGCAGCTAAAATCATTTCCTACCCTTGTATTTGACTTCTGTGCAATTTTAGTTTCCCATAGAAATATGTATTTTGGGGAGACCAGCTGGGACTCAGGACTAACAATCTACCCTTCACAAACTGAAATGCAAACCATGACGTGGTAAAACTAAAGTCTTTCTGGGCCAGGACTATTGGATGGTGGATCCGCAGAGGGCAATGATTTAAACAATCACCTGATTTTTCAGAAGAGATAGAAATATTATCTTCCCTAAGGTTTCAGTGCTATTTAAAGTGTTTTATGTATTTTCTGAAATCTATTAATTTAATGATAATGAGCCTGTCCCTTTATATTCATATAAGTCACACAGCCTCACTCAGGTATGCTAAGCTCCATTTTCTTGCTTGTTGTCAGATGGACTCAGATTAAAAGCTAGACAGTCAGTGTATGCATAACATGTATATAGCTCCAGGACCTTTTGTGAAATTTAAAGGTGGGAAGTTAATCAAAGGTGGGGAGATACCCTGTCCAAAGAGTTAGGGCAGCCCTGGAGCATGGTGTCGATTTATACATGGACGTTGTGGCAGCTGCCTCTCCCTCATGGTCCTCCCAGGGCATGCAAAGCACGGGTGGCTAGACGGCCTTTGAAGGAATCCTAACAGGACAGTCACTCCTCAGGATTCATGGCGAAGATCTCTTTGCAACCCTATGGACCATAGGTCACCAGGCTCCTCTGTCCATGGGGTTCTCCAGGCAAGAATACTGGAGTGGGTTGCCATGTCCTCCTCCAGGGGATCTTCCCGACCCAGGGATAGAATGTGCACCTCTTACATCTCCTGCATTGGCAGGTAGGTTCTTTACCACTAGCACCACCTGGGAAGCCCAAACCATACATAGTACATAGTTGTGATCAATACATAAGACTAGGTTTCTTGATATATTTTTTTAAATCACATTTTTACCCAACTGCTCCATTNATGTGCACCTCTTACATCTCCTGCATTGGCAGGTAGGTTCTTTACCACTAGCACCACCTGGGAAGCCCAAACCATACATAGTACATAGTTGTGATCAATACATAAGACTAGGTTTCTTGATATATTTTTTTAAATCACATTTTTACCCAACTGCTCCATTTTTAGCTTTCTTTTTCAATGATAGGTTAAACTATCTACCCAATAGTTGGTTCTTGAACACGGACTGTCCAGGAGTTTGTGTTGGCTGGCTCGCATTTGTCTGTTTCACCTCTCTGACTCTAACATAGGTTTCTTGAAGATGGGGACTACATAATGTTCTCCTCTGGAGAAGGGAGTGACAACCCACTCTGGTATTCTTGCCTGGGAAACTCCATGGACATTGGAGCCTGGTGGGCTACAGTGCATGGAGTCCCAAGAGCTGGGCATGACTGAGCAACTAACACTTTCATGCTTGGGGGAACAGTGCTTCATAGACCAAATCCTACTTTCAAATTTATTAGAAAATAAATTTCCTGGATTTCAAAGGGCTTCACAGCCATTATTCTTTGTGATACCCTGTGAATATCAGCCCTGTGAGACCTATACAGCCGTGAGATTTACAAGACTGGAATTATTATTCCATCTCTTACAAGAGAGGAAGCTGACACTCAGGAACCTGCTTGAAAGGTTACAAGTCAGTGGCAGAGTAAAAATTGGATTAATTCCATGCCTCTCCCGATCCACCAAAAAAAAACAAAACCCTAGCACAGCATGGTGGACAAGCAATTTGTCTACTGAATTCACTTACTGACTTGATCAAACTTTTGATTTTTGAAAAGTTACCCAAAGGCTTTTATTCATAAGTGAACTCCGGGATACTTCTTGGGATACAATGATCACTTACTACATATTTATTAAGTGACTATTCTACCTGGAAAATAATCAGGAATGGGGATATTCTTCTCCCTGGGAGCTTATGCATTTTTCACTTTGAGTTTCTTGCCTTCTCAAATCCTACTTTCAAGTTCCTCTGTATTAGAAAATAAATTTCTCCTTAATTTTGCTCCAATCCAGCATAATCACTCACTGATACCTGTTAAAATCAGCATCTTTGAAAAGCAGGAGATGCATGTGAGTACAGAAGACTGTGTTGCTCAGGGAATGTTCAACTGCAGAGTTGGGTCAATCAATAAAGCTATAGTGCTTCCCAGGTGGTGCTAGTGGTAAAGGACCCACCTGACAATCCAGGAGACATAAGAGATGCGGGTTCCATCCCTGGGTCGGGAAGATCCCGTGGAGGAGGGCATGGCAACCCACTCCAGCATCCTTGCCTGGGAAATCCCAGGGACAGAGAGCCTGGGGGGCTACAGTCCACGGGGTTGCACAGAATCAGACACAACTGAAGCTGTGAGATTAAGATGTCAACAAACACCTAAACAACCAGCTCGAAGACTGAACTTCCAAGTTTGTTTTGATGTAACAGTATTAATCTTTGGACTTGCCTGGTGGCTCAGACGGTAAAGAATCTGCCTACAATGCAGGAAGCCTGGGTTTGATCCCTGAGTCAGGACGATCCTCTGGAGAAGGGAATGGCAACCCACTCCAGTATTCTTGCCTGGGAAATTCCATGGACATTGGAGCCTGGTGGGCTACAGTGCATGGAGTTGCAAGAGCTGGACATGACTGAGCAACTAACACTTTCACACTTGGGGGAACAGTGCTTCATAGACCAATAAATGCACACTTATTTCCAACTAAATGGAGACCACCAATAAAGCTCTTAAAACCCTGCAGTGAGGAAATGGTCTCTTGTAGCATCTTCTGTGACTCACTTCACTTTAAAGCCTGAAAAGTGCAGCCTCTGGGTTTTTACTTTTCTGGCTTGCTACAATGTTTCTGCTTTTCTTGTGTATGAAGAGACTTTATGCTGCACTCATTTTAGTCATCCTGAGTCACTTCTCCACTGATCTGAACTCCTAGTGTTTTCAAATCTCCACTTTGTAAAACTGTATCAGTCTAAGTAAATAATACTCTAGGTATGCCTGAACATATTTCCATGCTGGCTGCCTCAGACAGGTTCCAATTTGAGAACTGATTCAAAAATCAAGACCCGGATGACACTAATACCAAGCAGGTGTACCCAGCCTTGCCTTTTCTTTCCAAGAAATGTCAGAGTAGACATAGCTAAAAGTAGGAAACTCTGATTTTTTTTTCTTCTCTGTTTGTAACCATTTTTGGTTTATTTTGATTTGCAACATCTCTAATACCCACAGACTTTACTCTACAACTTTACAAGCATTTTAAAAAATCCAGAAGGATATGCATGTGTGCCCTCCACCCCATGATGAACTATGAAATTAAAAAGTTATAAAACCTCTAAGAAATAGCACCTGATATGCCATTATAAACTCCAGGCATGATGTAGGGACTAAGCTCAGCTTCCTCATCTAGAAACTGAAAGTAATAATAACCTTTCAAGACTGAGGATATATTATACAAGACGGCAATCTTAATATAGTGCATAATATATAGGAGACAACTGGGAATTGGAAGGTATTATTATCACTGTTATAATAACGATGCTGATAATAATAATAGTAATAATAACAAAGGGCATGGGGGTCCCCAATTTCTACTATCCCTCTGAAGCACAGAGTGACACATAGACCTATCTTGCAGGATGCTGTGAAGTGAGTATCTGTGTAAGTAAAGTGGTTGCAGGCACACATCTAGAAGATACCATGGAGATGCATATTCCCATTAGTTTATTGCTGGATTTTTTTTTTTTTTTTTTGGATTTGGGTTTCCTAGGGCCAAATAGATATGTTTTGATTTCTAATTTACAAATTATAAGTATTAAATAATCTTATTCACTATGAATTTGTTCAGCCTAAAGGAATAAAGCAGGAGTAAATAATTGCTATCTAGATAGTTGTTTAATTAAAACACATTAGGTTTTGGTCTTTCAAAACAGAAGATTATTCTAGAACAGAAACACCAAAGTCGCAGCCTAAGAGGTACCTGTGGACCATGGGCATGTATTCTTTGGTCTGCTCAACCTCAAAAGAAAGAAGCAAATAACAAAAGACAAATATCGAATTAGTAGGCAACATTTTAAAGTGAGAAGATTCCATATTAAAACTCCAGGTTTTTTAGCTTCTTTTGAAAAAGCAGATGATCTATAACTATGGGCCCCATTCCCAACTGGCAACTCAAAAACTTCATGAACAGATACCTGGTCTGGGGGAGTTTACATGTTTCTTGACCTACTATTCAAACCCATCCACTCTCCTCACCCAGTAGACAAGGCATCTTTCAAATAATCGATGCTCGCCATTCCTTCGCACTGGGGCACATTATATCCAGTGAGACAGTCAGTGTGAACTGTCTACTGTGTATACGGAGCCTAAAAACTCAGGTGCTTTTTCTCCTAGTCGCAGCAGAACAAGTTGTACTGTTTTGTATTCAGCCCACGCATTTCCTAGTGTATCTTCCAACTGTGTTTATCTCCTTAGGAGCTGTCAAGCCCTTCAGATGAGATAAATGCAGGACACAGCGCCACACTTAGAGCTCATCTCAATTGCTAGTTTCAGGATCTTCAAAACCAGTTTCTGAGATGATTACCTTACACCCTTCTTGCCTTATAATTTTGAGCTCTGTACCAGGCAAACAGTTTGTCAATCTGTGAATGTCCTCCCTGGGAGTTATCTTGCCCTCACTTGCCATCACTCTGAGATTAAGGCCTCTGTGGGGAGCCCGCTGAGAAAGAAGTCTGCTGCTAAATTAGTCAACTCCCAACTCCCCCTGCCCTGCCCGAGGGGTGCTGTGGGAGAGGGGGCTCGCAATTGGCTCAGAGCTGTCAGGCTAAGAGAGAGTTTATTCAAAAATACAGCTGGGGTTTATCAGAGAGGTTGGGTTAAAGGGATGAGTAGGGAAACAGCCAATACATAGTCTCAGGAAGTGA